CCCTCCCCCTTTTCCTCCTCCTCTGCAAGCTTAGATTTTCCCATGCACGAACGAACCACGATTAAATCTACAACCTTTCGAAGTTTTGATTTCATTTCATTTCATCTCTTGGAAGGATGGATCTAGGATGCTCGAGGGAGATTAAATTAGAATCGTTGAATTTTGAATGGATATCGATATAATAACTTCGAGTTCGATTATATTGAGAGGCTGGCTTGATGATTGGAGAAGGAATTGTCGAAGAAGATTTGTTTGATCATTTGATCGAGGGATCATCTAAATAATTGGAAGGATTTTCTTGTGATTATTCCTCGATCTTTTTATGTTCTTCGTATTTCGTTGATAAAACAATCTAGGTGTGAAGAGTTCGGATACTTGGAGAGGAAAAAATCAGAAACTTCAAGATACAAAATTTCTAAAAAATAAAAAGTGTTAAACAATAAACTGAATCGAAATTGTTAAATTTAAAACAGAATGATTTCGAATTTCGAACTCTTATCGCTTCCTTTTCATTGAAACTCTCTATTTTCTCTTCCACGAGAAAAATCGAACGACACAAAAGAACCATCGTCCAGGATCGACGAAATAATCTTTCGGATCGAATATCGTCTCCTACCTACCAACTCTTCTCGAGAAACGTTTTCTGGACAATCCTGACTAACGAGAATCGTCCAAACCACACGGGGAGAAGCAATCTCAACGTCTCATCTCCCCAAGATTCCCTTGATATTTCATCCCCCGATTTTCAAAACCAAGGCCTTCCACCCTTTAATCCTAGAAGCTCGTCTCGAGCACGAGCAGCGAGACGAGGAAGCCGCGATAAACTCTCCCTTTCTCTCTCTCTCTCTCTCGTTTCGGGATTACACGGAGATCAGTCGAAGATTCTTGGCACGGAAGAACGGGTCGACAATGGCACCGTGTCGTTTTACACCACTTCTGGGACCGATATCTCGAAGCTGGACGACGTGAGCGTCGCCATCGCGCTGCAAAAGAACGCACGTTTCGAGGAGACGCAGCGTAACGACCCAGTTTTCACTTTTCTTTCTCTCTAAAGAAAGGAAAAAAAAAAAAACACCTGCCTTCCCTCCCCTTTTTCCTCGAACAAAAAAAAGTTTCCAGAAGGAAGATGGAACAATCCTCCCCTTCCTCCTCAATCGTGACGCTGCGTCCCCTGGAACGAAAGATTACGGGTCCCAGTGAGCGTCCTCGTGACCAGGTTTGTCCTCGCGTCCGAGTTTTCTTTCTTTCCTTCCTTCTTTCTTTCTTTCTTTCTTTTTTTTTTCTTTTTCGAAAAAGTTTTTCCACTGGAAAATGGGGAGAGAGACTGGTCACGTCCGCGCGATGATTGCGGCTGTGAGGGAATAAGGAAGGGAGGAGGTGAATCGAAGGAATGAAAGAGGGCACGGAGGTGAGAAGATTGCGAAAGTTAGGCGGATAAAAAGGTTGTTCGACCGACGAGAAACTCCGGTGGATCGGTTCTGGTGTTCCTCGTGTAGCCTTCGAACCAAACTCTCGGGGATTGTTCGAGCGAGAAACTCGTGGTGGCGTTGAATCGAGCGAGGGGGAGGAGGGGGAGTTTCAGGGGAGGGGATGGTGGCGGTTGGATTAACGTCGGGCGTGGAAACGAAGGGGAGGGTCGGTGAGAGATTTCGAGCGCGAATCCATCCTGGCGACGAGGATTTCGTGGCCCTGGGACGCGGCTGTGTGCATGTGTGTGTATGTGTGTGTGTGGGTGTGTACGTGTATGTGTGTGTGTGTGTGTGTGTGTGTGTGGCTTAAGTCTAACTGTAATTCTCAGGGGTGGGTTGACAGGGGTGGCTCGCAGCCTAAGGGCGACGTGAGCTTACCTTGCTTCCTCTTTCGTTAAATATGATTTCCACGTCGAGGATCGGCCCGAATTGCTGGAAAACAGAAAGCAACGTTGTCTCGAGAACGTGTCATCATCGTGTTCAACCCATTAAGGACCAACGGGGGGAAATAATATAAGTGAATTTATTCGAATAACGTAACGTTATATATTTCTTAAAAAACAAAAAAAGAAAAATGAGATAGAAAAATATCTGTTAATGATTTAAGAAAGATACTTTGTCACAATTTGTTGCAAATATTTCAATTACTTTATAGAAACATTATAGATATTTTGCACAAATCAAAGATAGAGAAAAAAAGAAAAAAAGAAATACGAGCAATAATATATCTCGATACAATTGAACAATTTAATTTCTTCAAAAATTACAGAATTAAGTCAAAAAATATTAACATATAACATATAATTGGTCCTTAATGAGTTAATATCAAAATGAATAATAAGGAATAATTATTATTTATTATTATTATTATTATTATTATTATGATACATCAAAACTTTCAACTACCACTTCCGTACCTATGAACGAATAATTAATTCACTCCCCCCCCACGATAATACAACACAATCACTCGTTAAACTTTTTGCAAAATGAAAGATAAATAATCCAAAGTTGAAACTTACCCCAAACATTGCCCTGAGATCAGGGTCTCGGAAGCGGAAAGGTATATTGCTGACGTGAAGGCGTTTCGGTTGACCTTTCAAGTCTGTACCCTGTGTTGCGGTG